AGCCTGCTGGGAGGCTTGGTCTTATTTTTACAGGGAGGAAAAAAAAAATCATGAATGCAGCTCTTCCAACTCTTTGGAAGCTCTAGGCGTAAGTAAGATGCAATGGGATGCTGCAGGGATGAAGGCAACTTCTCTGGCTCCTCACGCTGAAGCGGGGAGGGCACGGGGGACTTTGCACAGGGATGGAGCACAGAACCTGCGCTGCTCCGGCAGCACCGTCCAGCCTCCCTGCATGCTCCTGGCATTTTAAGTGTCCCTGTCTGGTTCTGCTGTGGTTCAAACCATCCTATTTCCTGGAATCAGAAACCCTGTCCCCCCCATAAGTACAAAATAAGTTTTATGCAACCGCTAGGGCTGTGATTCTGTGTCAAACACCAGCAACCCCCTTGTGATCTCCATACCCTGTATCTTAGGAGAGGGCTTCCATTTTATACGTGTCTCAGAGCAGAATCCTGGTGCAGGTGGATGCTACCAGCACAGAAAAGGCAGGATCAATTTGTTTTCTCCTCCAACAGAGGATGAAAATATTTAGCAGGTATTCAGACATTGATGAGATTAAGTCTCGCTCCTGCCAGGAGCCCTGCTGCTTCCAAAGCACCTTTCCCTTGAACACACACAACTCAGCTGGGGAAGATGCTGCAAGATGAAGTCTTGGGTATCACAGGCCACTGAACGGTGGCTAAATCTCTGCTGCAAGGGCAAAGCGATGTGACCGTTCGTCAGACTGCCTGCCCATGCTTTTCTTGCCAAGTTTATGGCAGGGAGAAGGGGTCACGTTAGCCCTGGGGAGTCTGGAGATGGAGAGGAGGGCTCCAGTGCAGCAGTGCCACGTTTGAGAGCTGCTGTTTCTGTTCAGTGTGGTAGGGATCACCCGAGTAGGCACGGTGTTTGTGGGTGTGTGTAAGCGTGGTGGGGCTCTGGGAGTGAGAAGTCCTTGTCCCACGGCGATCCCTGGGAACACCAGCCAGCATGAGTGCAGGGGAAGGGAGCCCATGCCCCATGCAGGCACCTCAGATGGATGTAAGAAGGAGAAGCCTTGGCAGAAATCTTCTCCCTGTCTGCAAAGGTCTTGTGGGATCTGGACAGGAGGACGCTGCTGGACCTGCCCAGGGCTGTGGCTGGTGTATCACCAGGAATGGGAAGTGTCCCAGTGTATTACCAGGAATGAGAAGAGTGTCCCAAACCAGCACCCGGGTCAGGGTGGACATGTGCCGTGGCTATGTGGGGCCACTCTTTCAAAATGGTGGCTCCTGTTCTGCTCCTCTTTGGCTTTGATACCTTCCAGTTGGATAAATGGGACACAGGAGAAGAAAGTGGGGTTTAGCACTGGCATTTCCCCTGGAACTTTTTGTGTCCTCTGGTTTTACTGGTTCTGAACAACTGAAAACTGAGGCAGGGTCAGCCCCATTTTCCCCAGGCCTTTTCCACTTCTGTTTCCCCTTTATCCAGTAAATCCCTATAAATACCAAAGAGCTAATTAATAGGAGGTTTAATTATTTGGGTACTCCTTGGGGATTCATCTCTGTTTTCCCCCAAAAACTTCTGTGTGAGCCTGGAGGGGCCACTTGAATGATGTGTGCTGGGGAAGTTCTAACTGAGCTAGAACACACATGGAAGCTCCCGTTTCTCTCCATCAGTGTCTCCTGGGAGCTCAGTACTGGCCGAGATGAACGCTGAGCTGTCCCCAGGGAAATGCCCCATCTTGGTTTGGTGAACAATGGCAGCTTCTGGTTATTTCTGCCCAGGATTTTTCTCTCCTTGCCTGTCTGTTAAGGTCAGGAGCAGGTTTGGTGAGAAACAGGACTCAGCATCTCAAAGTCTAGGCCCCGGTCACGTACACAGATTCATGCAGAGCTGCCAAATTAGTGGCCATGCCAGGAGGATGTTGATGACTTCTCAAGCACAGGTTTTTCTCCTGGATGGGAGCGTTGGTGCTTCTGGGCTTTGCGCCTTAAATAGCGTCTCTTATCAGTAGGCTGAACGTTGGTTACTGGCAAGTCAACCTGGGGCTTTGGGACTCTTAATGATGTCTCTCTTCCATTAATGGAAACCAGACTGGCAAACCCTCTGTGCTGCACCCCTACCATCTACAGGTATGGTGCACCCTACAAAAGCTGGTTGGCTTTTTTTTTGCTTTCCATCCTTATAGTTCACCAGGGCTAACCAGGCTCCAGCATGCTACACAACCTATGAGGAGCTGGGGTATTATCTTCCAGAAAAAGAACGGTGCAGTGACATAGACGGTAATTGTTTCCTGTTTAAGAGGGAGCTGGGAAATACAAAGACTCTAATATCAGCACTCGAGGAAACTGGAGGCATTGGGAAGGCTTGGATTTTCTTCCTCTTGAATGAGTTTTTTGCAGCACTGAGGGAAAAGTTTAAAAGTCTCCTGGCACTTCACACACCAATACTAATCCAAAGCCTCCTCTGGGTTTTCCCCTCTGTTGTAGAACCCAACTTACATCTGTATTATCTTTGGAGTGATTTAACATTTGGAATGATTAATTTATAGAGACAGTCATCGTGTGACTGCCAATCCCCTTCCAGTGCTGAGCAGCACTAATTGGATAAGACCAAGAAGTGCTCTCATCAGGAACACGATTTCCTGGACAGTAAAGGGCCTGTTGAGGGACCCTGCCTTGTGTGCAGCTTTGCACTTCTTGCTCGGTGTGGAGTTCCTTGCCAGCAGACCTAACGCCTCCCCTCCCTCCTCCTGCTGTTTGCTCTTCTGCATCTCTTTCCTGTACTGTTTTTTTAGTGAACGCCACACAAGGAGTTGAACAGCACGAGGCAGAGAGGGTTTGGGTGGGGGGAGAGTGGGGGAACCCAGGCTGCTGAGGTCCCTCTTATCCACCACTGAACACTGTGAGGCTGGATGCCGGAGAGTGTTTTTAGGAAGAAAAGAGAAGAATGAATTGTCCTTGCAATGGCCATGGATGATCTGTGGGGCTGGAGGTGATGCTGACCCACACACACGTGCAACCAAAGCATTGCTGTGTGGGGTGTGACAGACCCCCAGGCCACCCCTGGTGTGCCAGGGGAGGGACCGGGGACTGCGGGCAGCTTCTGGCCCAGGGAGTCCTCTGGTGTCCCCTGCTCCGTCCCGCTGCTGCCATGCTCAGCAGGGATGATCTGGAGGTCTCCCTTCCTTGGCGTTGGCTCTGCTTGCCTGGATCCGGCCCCCGTGGGAATGATGCCTCATTTCTAGGGCTCTTTGCTCTCTGTTGGGAGCCCGGGAAAGTATTGGGGATGCTCAGCTCTCCCTGTTGCAGAATGCTGTTTCAGAGCATTTTAAGCAGCTGTCCGGGCAGGTCAGGGCTGTTAGGACCTCTATGCTTTTATCTTCTGCTTCCAGGTGAGGCTTTAGGAGGAGGGCTGTGCCGGGGAGGTGCCGGTGCTGGGCGGCTGCCTGGGGATGGCTGCGCCAGCTCTTCTGCCTGCAAACTGCATGGAACCCTGAGAACAGGGTGAGGGCAGCTGGCTGTGATGAGGCAGGGGAAAATGAAGTTAATTATGACATTGCAGAGATGCTGATTTCTTAATAGAAAGCTTTCTAAGGGAAGAGCCTCGACCAGCTGCGTGTCTGGGAGCTGAAATCCGAGTGAGTGTTTAATGCGGCGTGGACCCAGCAGATGCTGGCAGGACCATCTGAGACCTCGGCTCTCTCCAGATCCCCCTTTTTTTCATTTTTCCTGGCAAAAAAAAAAAAGGATATTGTTGAATTTGTAGAGAAGGCAAACCCATGCCAAGGGCTCTGTGCTGTACAGAGTGACTGGAGCTGGGGGAGGATGGCATGGTGAGTGTGGGGGGGGGACCCGCTGCAAAGGGCAGGTCTGCAGCTCCCCAATTTCCAGGCCCCCATGAGCCCACCTGAGCTGGGCTCAGCCACATAGCCCACAGCAGCCGTGTTGTGGCCCCCTGCCGACACAGCCCCTGCTGCTCCAATGGGTTCTGGAGGGCTCTTGGTTTCCCCTAGCTTCAGTGGGATGAGCGGATGGGAATGTGCAGCAGTAACTGTGTGATGCCTAACGTGGGACTTGGTTCCCAGTGCTTTTCAGGGACTGGGCGACTCCCAGCAGCATTTAGGACGTGAGCAGTTCAGTAGAGGCAGACCCAGCACACGAGTGGGGGTGAGAGCATCTTGCTGCAGGACAGATGCTGGCAAACGCCCTCCTTAGACCGAAGCACCGTTCCTGGTGGCCATGCACCCGCTCGGGGTTGCACAAGCATCCCTATGAGCCCCCGGCCAAGCTGCAGAGGCTTTTGCAGCAGCAGCCACCCAGCCCTTGCCCTCAGCGTGGCAGCAAGCAGGACCATGCAATGTCCCCGTCTGCGCTGGTCCCCAGAGAGCACCCTGTGGAGGGAGGGCACCAGTGTCACCCAGACACTGCAGCGAGACCCAGAGGGCAAGAAAATCATCTGTCTGTCCCAAAATGTCACTGCTCTCCCTGACTGGCAGCAGACTCCTTAACCCCTGCTAGTCAGTCACCATCCTGCCAGGTAATTAATAGGCTTTTAAGCGCTGGTCTTGCTGGCTGCTTTTGCTGTAGCATCTGGCTTCATAGTCCAAAGTGATTTAAAATTGGCTTTCTTAAATTCTCCTTTTTTTTTTTTGTGGCCTGTTGAACCATTAAGAATAAACCGGCTTGAATTGGGTAATTTGAGGATGAGGGGGGTCTGAAAAGGTGATCAGAGCAGCAGGGGCACGGTGTGGGTGTATGGCTGGGAGGACACAAATCATGCTGGTACGTGCCAGATCAAATATCAGCTTCGTGCAACCTGCGAGCAAAGAGCAGGCTGTGGGAGCAGAGATGTCAGCGAACCAGTGCCGATTTCCATCAGCAGAGGTTGGGAGCAGCTCGGCAAAAATCCTCCCCAAGCCTTTTCTGTTCTGTTTTGCTTCCCTGTGCATGTCCGGGGAGGGCGGCAAAGGCTGCGGCTGATGCCAGGGCGTGGGGTGGGAGCGGAGGGAGCTGCTCAAGGTGAACAGCACTGTCTGCATCCCAATTAGCTGGAGCTACGAATATCAAGAGGCTCCGAGAGGCAGAGAGCTCCTGGAGATAACGCTGATGGTTCCCCAGGGCTGAAGACTTTTTGCTCTGGTCCCTCTGCCCCTGGTGTTTGCAGCTGGATTTTGGGTTCTAGATTCGCTGCAGCTGGCTTGGTCCTTAGCCCTGGGGCATCCGAAGCTGCTTGCTGCCCTGCAGCCTGGGGGTGGCTGGGTGGAAAGGAGGGGTCGGTGCTAAAACAACCCGTTTGCAGCTCACCCTGAGGCTCAGACAGGGACAGAATCCATCCTTGGAAAAAAACAGGACCTCAAAGCCTGGTATGTGGAAGAGCTGTTGCCTACCCATCTCCTCGGTGGGTTCCCCTCGCCAAAGCACGGTAATGCTGCTTGAGGTCCTTTTAGCAAAAAGGAGGGGGAAGCAGAGCGCTGAGCTGATATCCAGATGTTTTTCCTCTTAGGCTTCAGCAGCAGGGGGAACAGAGCAAAGCAATTACTGTTGTGACAAAGGTGGAGCTGGATGGAGAGCTGAGACCTGCCCTGTGGGAGATGCTCCATTAGGAAATTGCCTCTGTGACCAAGTGTAAGAAAGTGGCTCAGCAGGGAGCTAATGTCCTCCATGGAGGCCACAGGCTTGTCCGCATCGAGCTGTGCCGTGGGGGGCACCTTAGGTGCCTCCTAAAGCCCGAGAGTTTAATTTGTCTTTTTTGTGCAGATTAAGAAAGAGAACACTCTCAGTTCCCCGGGGAGGAAAAGAAAAAGAGGTTAATCCACAGATAAGTGATTAATTGATTTTTGTTTGTACTGAACATTCTGGAAATGTTTGGGAACATTGTTTGGTTGGGATAATGGCTGTTGGCTCTCAGTGTGCAGAGAGAGAGTGGAGCTAGAAGTAATTAATTAGGTGTAAATTAATTTCCCCACCTCTCAAGAGCACAAAAATCAGCCTTAACATCCACTTGAAGGTGGGTTGAAGGAGGTAGGTGATGGCCCAGCTGCCCCAGCATGTCCCTGCGTCCGAGGGAGCGAGGGAAGGGGCAGCAGAGAGGATCTGTGCGTTGGGGGAGAGCTGATTTGGCAGGGCCAGGCTGAGCGATGGCACCTGGGCTCTGAATTCTTGCTGAGAAGCATCTTGGAGGAGAAGGACCAGCGAGGTCCCCTGGGATGGAGGGGAGCAAGAGGGAGCCGAAGGTTTGCAATTGGTGCACCCCAAGCTCCGGGTTAGCTGGGGTGCCCCAAGCTACAGGAGCGCGCATGGAGGCAACGTTGTCACCCGTGGATGCTGGATGGGTGGTAGAGGTCGGTCGTTTGCTGCTTGTTTCTCCCACTGGTAAAAAGACCAAACCAACTCTTTAATTTTTTTGGTTTCACAGTGGTGAAGCTGCCCATCACGGTTCAAAGCTGCAGTTGTTATTCCCTGGAGCTAGAACACCAGTAAAAGCAGTCAGGGTTAGAGGCATGATGAACTGCCTCCAAATCCAGACCTCCTGGAGGGGTGGACTGGCACAAGCTTGGGTGAACCCAGCCAGGTCTGAGGGATACAGAGGAAGACCACAGGGCCCAGGAGACCTTTGCTAACCCAGTCTTAGGTGACTGAATAATTTCCTGGAGCCTAAGCTGACAATACTTATTTTTGTGGGGGCTGATAAAGAACAGTGGTTTAATTTCTTAATTTTTTAAATTTCTTAGTTACCTCCCCTGCTGACCTAGAGAGGAAAGTGTCTGGATCCATTCACAGACCCATCTCATGCTCCCTGCGTGCGTTGCCTCATCTATGCCAACTGCAAGAATTCAAACAAAAAAGCGAAACTCTTCCCCCTGAGATGCTGCTGCGCCGGGGTTCGCAGCGCTGGAGCCTGTTTCTGTGTGGTTCTGCTTAGGAAGTCCCAAAGCTTTAAAGCCCTGGCAGCTGCCTGGTGGTGTTGGATTTGCAAAGTGTTTTGCTTGCTCATCCCTTCACAATAGGAAAGGCACTGGTATTTTTCCTTTATTGCTTTTGGTTATATAAGTTTATCTGATTTGGGATGGCTTTCTAAGAACCCTCTGTCTTGCTCGGCCGCTGTGATTTCTGGGCCAGGAGGAGCCTGACTCAGGCTTATGTGGGGACCTCCAGTCCTTCCATCAACGTCCATCTGTTCCAAAAGCTTCCATTGGCTTTCAAGGTCAAACGTAGGATTGTTTGTTCTTGCTTTCTGAAGCCGTTTTCAAACATCTGACTTTTAATACAAGCAGAGCTTAGAGCTCTAAAGGGGTAAAAAAAAATAATATAGACTTTTATCTTCTGGACTGTGGATCCCCTGGCTGTTCTTCTTGCAGACCTTTCTATGTCACCATGTGTCTCAACAGAGTTCAGAGCGTGGCGGTGATAACATTCCTCCAAGCATTCATGTAACCTACCAAGAGCTGAAGCTCAGGTCACCGAGGCGGGGTGCAGTGCTGAGGATCACAGTCGTGGGTTTGCTCTTCTGAATCTATTTGACAAAAATTGCTTTTTAGGTCAAATCAGACCCTGTAATATTCCAACACCTATCAAACTGCAAATAGGGCAGCAGTTTATGGGTTTAAGTGTTACCCTCAAATGAACTTGCCCTCTGTTAATCACACACACTATTGCCTGCCATTTCTGGCAATGTTTCTGCAAAGGCTGTTAGTGTAGTCAATGATAGATGAGCTGTAGTTTCAAAATTAGACCTATTTGAGCCCTTATTTTGCCCCTGAGAGGACCATCCTGGATGTCAGATTCAGAGTCACCGCTGAGTTTCCATTTCTGCAGGCTCTGCGTCTATCCTTGGGTAGGTGATCACATCTTGCTTTGCACCATTTCCCATCTGTAAAAAGATGGTTACCATTTGAGTAAGGTAATCTTCTCTTGGGGCAGTCGGTTCATGTGATAGAAGTAATATAGAAATGATAGAACCCCTTTGAAATAGAGTTGACTCATGACTTTATCTGCAAACTACCCATTTCTTTAGAAAGATCTGTTGTGATGTTTTGATTTCTGATAGAAACCTCATTCCTCACCACTGGCTAGGGCTGGCCATCTTGCCCATTCTGATTTGATAGCTTACATTAGCCATAGTCTTTGGCTATGAGCCCACATAAAATGGCTCATCAACTTACCCCTGGACCATATGATGCCTTTCAAATCCGTTTACCAGGTAAAGCTCTCACCAATACTTATAATAATGAAGCCATATGTGAGGAAATCCCAGATTAGCGTTACTGAAGTCATTTTTCAAAAAGCATAGTCTGGGTAGACAGCTTCAGGCTTTCATGGTCCTCACTTGCAGTCTAAGGGAAGAAGCTTCTCCTGCCCGTGAAACTGGTTGTGAAGGCACCATTTGTGGTGGTGTAGGAGCTGGCTTAGGCTGTGTGTTGATAAGCGTGTGGGAGGTAGAAAGGAAAGGGTTGTGTTCAATCTCTTGTTAGGTGAGAAAAATACCTCCTCTCCTTCCTGAAGTGGCAGAATGCCCTCTTCAGTAGATTTCATCAGGGTCAGGGGGAGCTCTAACCATTGCTCATTCCTACATTTCAGGTTCACCAAGATGAAGACTGCAACCAACATTTACATCTTTAACCTCGCCCTGGCTGATACCTTGTGTCTGATGACCTTACCCTTCCAGGGTACAGACACATTCCTGGGCTTCTGGCCCTTTGGCAATGTCCTCTGCAAGATTGCCATCTCTATAGACTACTACAACATGTTCACAAGCACCTTCACCCTGACAATGATGAGCGTGGACCGCTACATTGCCATCTGCCACCCCATCAAAGCACTAGACATCCGCACTCCCCACAAGGCCAAAGTGGTGAATGTCTGCATCTGGGCGCTGGCTTCGGTCTTTGGCATCCCAGCGATGGTGATGGGATCTGCGGAGAATGAAAACAACGGTCAGTAAAAATGCACCCAGTGGGTGGCAGGTGGTGGTGGCCAGGAGAGCCCATGGGCTTGGGGAGTTGATGGAGAGGGGTACCCATTTCACCAGCGTGGTGAGCTCTCTGCTGTAAAGCCATCTTAACTCTTTCCTTTCTGCCCTTGCCTCTCCATCACTGCCGCTGCTTTTCCAGTATTAACCTGAATGTGCAGATGCTTTTTTCTTTATATGGGTTTGCTGATCTTCTCTTCCTTTTTATTTTTTGACTTGCAGAAATTGATTGTCTAATTAAACTCCCTTCACCTGTGGATTACTGGGATCCAGTGTTTGGCATCTGTGTCTTTCTCTTCTCCTTTATGATCCCCGTGTTGATCATCACCATTTGCTACAGTCTCATGATCAGACGACTCAAGAATGTCCGCGTCCTCTCAGGCTCCAAGGAGAAGGACCGAAACCTGAGGCGCATCACCCGAATGGTCCTGGTGGTGGTGGCAGTCTTCATCATTTGCTGGACTCCCATCCAGATTTTTGTGCTGGTCCAGTGTTTGGGTGCCAAGGCAGAAAGTGAGCTCGAGCTGGCCATCTCCTGCTTCTGCACCGCGCTGGGGTACGCCAACAGCAGCCTGAACCCCGTGCTCTATGCCTTCTTAGATGAGAACTTTAAGGCGTGCTTCAAGAAGTTCTGCTTCCCCACCGCCTTCCGGACCGAGCTCCAGATGTCCAACAGGATGTGCAGCATCGCCAAGGATGTGGCCTACGCCTGCAAGAACTCGGAGGGGACTAACAATCCGGCCTGACTAGGCATGGAAATTCCCATGGTGGCTGTCACCCAGCAGAGTCCAACCACCCCCACGTCAGAGCTAACTCAGATAACAGCCCTTTAGCAGGACCTCAAAACTGAGAGGTGAGAAACCGAGGAAACAATTTTGGGGGTTGGGAAAACCGGATACTGCAAGAGCATGCAGAAAAAGTGAGCCCATGAGATGTATTTTTAATTCCAGCGCACCCTGCACCGAGGAATGTGTTTGAAATCAGCTCTCTGATTCCTGCGAAACCCTGGTGGTTTGCAACATTATTGATAATTTGGGAATTAAGGGTTCGAAATGGGCATGGCTCCTGGGACTTACACTTTTGCTGCTGGGAGACAGACAAAATGCAAACTATTCCATCATTTCTTCTTTCCTCCCCGAGTTGTTCAAGGCGCTAACAGCTCTGTGGCTCACCAGGCGCTCGGGCGCGGGTTTTATTCCTGCAGCATCGCTCTGAAATTTAGACTTTGCCGAAGCCAAAGCGGGCAGCAGGCGTCAGACAAAAACCCAAGATCGTCTCCAGGATGACTCATCAGAAGGGGAAGGATGCGAGGAGGGAGAGGAGGGAGCTGGTGGGAAGAGAAATTCAAACCGCCCTGGGTCGGGCGGCGGGGGCTCGGAGCCTGGGGAGGGCAATGCGGACGGGGTCTGCAGTAAAACCCTCGAGAGGGGAGCAAGGTGGTGGGAAGGGACTGTCAAAACTGATGAATGTAGCTCGGAAGGGGAGGAAGAAAAGACAGATGAAAGGAACACAAAGCCTTCTTTACGCGCTGCTATTGCTTTTTTTTTTAACCCTGTATTTCCATTGTGATAATGGACAGAATGTGTCTGTATATACGCGTCTCAAGTGCTGTAGGCACAGCTATAAGGCAGGATTTCATCTTGCCAAGCATGCCTTGGGGGTCTTCCTCGGTGAGAGGAGGAAGGAATGGAGTGGCCTATGTGTACCTGTATTTATGGGCAGGGGGAAAGCCGTTTTGGAGACATTGGAACAGCAGCTCCTCCAGAAGATGCGGACATTTCTGGTAGGAGGGGCAGACTAAAACGGTCCCACCTGCTCCGTGCGAGGTAAGTGGAGCACAGACCGTACAAAAGGGGGTTGGGTTGTGGGGTTGGTTTTTTTGGTAATGAAATGAGATCCAGGATGCTGAGAGCACTTAGGAAATGCTGCTGAGGTACCACCCCTCCTGCCAACCACAGATTGAGCTTCCTCCCCCAGTAGGCCAGAGCTTTGTGTACAATGAAATGCTCCGTCATTTTGTTTAATAACGAAAGCGTTCCCGAAGCGTTTAACCGCCGAGTGCCCTCCGTGCTGGCAGGGACAGCAGACTTGTATTCTCCCTGTAGCACAAAACCCCAGGGAAATCTGGGCAGTGGTGGCCAGTGGTGCTGATGGGGGAAGAAAAGCAATGGCCTCCACTCGGAGCCGCGAGGTCAGCGCCAATGCAAGAACTGGCAGCGGCATCCAGACTGTACAGATTTCATGTGAATATATTTCTTGTGCTCTGGTCTATGAGATTCTGTATTTTTAATGTATTGATTTGCCAATATTTTAATGCTGTCATGTTCTTTATATATGCTGTACAAAAGAATCCAATGTTATATTTCTATGTAGAGTGTTTCCCTGATGGTTGGGCTTAAAATATAGATGCAATTCCAGTGTCCCATGTATAGGACCCAGATCCCAGATCAAGCTGGGAGGACTTTCATGCTGATTAGCATTTGATTGGGAATCTGGAGGGATACCAGAGCAAACTTTGCAATTAGCACTTCCCCTGAACAACGTAGGGGGAGGAGGAAATCTGGGCACTTTAAGCACTTTGCAATGGATGTTGATCCCCAAGCACTCACTAGGAAATCCCATACCACCCCCAAGCATGTGAAGAACAACCCCCTGAGAACCGTGCTGCTGGCAAGCTGTATCCATGCCCTTGGGGGGGAAAAATGTGTTTGGTGGGCTGCTGTGGTTGTGGCTACACCAGCAGCACTGGTCAGGGTGCAGTCTTAGGGCTTCCCGGCCCAGGAGCTGCCCCAGGGGCTGGCAGGGGGTTGGGTATGGTTGCACGTGAAGCTGGGAAGCGACCGCTGGGCTGTTCTTGCGGTGCCATTCGTTAGTGGCTGGCTAAGGAACAGCCACCCTCCCTTTATAGTTCTTGGCTGGGTTTTGAAATAGATTTTTGTCCTCTGAAAAATACACTGGTGTTTGGCGTTTTTTTTTTTAATAAGGATTTTGTTATAATGACTATGCTGCAATGATCTTACATAATCAAGTACTCAATAAATGTGTGTTTACGAAGCTTTTGGGTAATTCTGTGGCCCTTGCAGTGAATGTGTTTAGGCCTTCTGTTCAATGCTCGGTGGAATTTGTTATAAGACGAGCAACAGAAACCTGAAAGCAAAAGCTTTATTGTACTGTGCCTCTGGAGTTAAAGGCTTGCGATGGGCTGAAGCGCAGGCTCTTTAATTCTCTCCTGAACTGGTTGTGTTGGTATGATTTTACAGTTACCGCAGTGTAAATGACAATTTCCTAGGTGGCTACTTGTGTGCTTTAATAAAGGAAAATAACCCCCCCCGTGCTTTGAATGATGTGGAGTCTGAAAGGCTTAGCTACGTGGGGTGGGGGGATCTTTGCGCGTGGGCTTAGCTTCCCAGCCGAAACCGCTGCTGAGCGCGTGCAAGAGCACCGAAGCATCCCATCCCTTTTTACT